GAGCAGGGAGCCCGATGCGGGACTCGATCCAGGGACTCCAGGATCATGACCTGAGCCGAAGGCAGTCGCTTAACCAACTGAGCCACCCAGGCGCCCTTCTGCCTGCTTTTTAATATATTTTTGTTTTTACAAAATTTAATCTTACAAATAGTTTTGTATCTTTTTTTTTTTTTTAAAGATTTTCTATTTATTTGACAGAGAGAGAGAGACAGCGAGAGAGGGAACACAAGCAGGGGAAGTGGGAAAGGGGCTCGATCCCAGGACCCTGAGACCATGACCTGAGCCGAAGGCAGTCGCTTAACCGACTGAGCCACCCAGATGCCCCAATAGTTTTGTATCTTTTATTTAATGTTATATTGTGAGGATTTTTGAATCATATTTCCAAATTACCCTTGTTTAAAAAAAAAAAAAAAGACAACAAGCCCAAAATGGAGTTGCTTAGGCTAAGCCTCACATCACCAAGCAGAGACTTACAGTTAGGGTTCTCCCAGAAATGGAATTTTAAACCAGTCCATCAGGCATTGCCTGATCAGGGGTGCCTGGCTGGCCCAGTCTGATGAGTGTGCAACTCTTGATCTAAGGGTTGTGAGTTTGAGCCCCACATTGTGTGTAGAGATTACTTAAATATTTAAAATTTTAAAAAGGTAATCGACCTGATAATCCCCTAAAGGAAAGTAACCTTGCAATAACCAACCCACTTTTGTATAATTTCCTTGCTCCTTTTCTCTTCTAGCCATGAAAGTCTTTCATTTGGTACAGCTCCTCAGAGCTTTTTTATCTCCTAGACTGAATGCTGCCCAATTCGAATCGAGTTTTGCTCAAACAAAAATTTTTAAATATGCCTCAGTTTATCTTTTAACACTCTCTAGAAAAGCTTTGCTTTAGAATCCTTACTTATAGCTACGGGAATGCTTGTTTTCCCATCTCTTGACCACACGGAATGTTGCACTTTTTTGTTTGCTGGCTTCATAAGTGAAAATGATTTCAGTACTATTTTACATTTCTTTCTTTAAATTTTATGTTTATTGATCATATTCATTTTCTTTGTGAGTGCCTGTTCACATCCTTGGCCTATATTTGTTGTTTGGGTGGTATTTGTTTTGTTGTTAATTTGTAAGAGCTCTTTACATACAGGGGCATCTGTTTTCTAACCTGTAAGCCTTGGCTGCGAGTTCAAACCCCAGGCTAAAAGGTGGCCCTTAGGTTTCCTAAAGCCAGACAGCGGTTCTTTGCGCGTGAAAAACACGACCGGCTGGAGTACGGCGGGAGGTGTGAGAGCTCCTTCGCGCAAAGCCCAGCCTGGACCCAAGCAGCTCACTCCACAGGTCCCGGGCGTAGCCCGCTCGGCGCCAATCGGCGGCCGCAGTGCGCAGGAACGGAAGATGGGCCGCCCTTCCCCCACCTGCTTCCGGCCGCGGCTCAGTTCTCGCGCCTCCGCCTCCGCCGCGGCTCGTGGTCGTCCCGCCATGGCACTGTCGCGGGGACTGCCCCGGGAGCTGGCCGAGGCCGTGGCCGGGGGCCGGGTGCTGGTGGTGGGCGCGGGTGGCATCGGCTGCGAGCTCCTCAAGAACCTTGTGCTCACCGGCTTCTCCCACATCGACCTGGTGAGGGCCAGGCGTGCGCGCGGGCTGAATGGCGGGCCGTATTGCCGGGGCCGGGGGCTCGGGCTCCGGAGGTCGGGACCAGAGTTGAGGTGGCGGGGGTGGTGGCAGCAGGCCTGGAAGTCCGGGGGTCGTGGGTGCCTGCGGAGAGGGCGCTCTTCGGCGGGGCCGGAGCGGGCCTCCCTGCACGCCCGGTCCGCTCGGGACGCCAGAGAGGCCGCGGGCCGGGGTCTTCCGGGCGTCGCGCCGCGCGGCCGCCCCCTGCCTCCCTGGCAGCGCCAATTTGTGGCGGCTCTAGGCTGTGGGAGCGGCCTCGTGTCTTTTCGGTTCAGAGCAGTTCCCCAGCTTTAGTGGGAGGCGGAGGTGATTGTTTGAGTCTCGTGGATGTTGTGACTTCATTTTGGCGGTCTCCCTTAACTCAGAAATACTGGTCCAGAGCAGAGGGTGGCGGTAATAGGAGCCA